CACCTTTTCTTTATACCTTCCCTGTAATACAGATCATCATCATTTTACACCTACACAACTATTTTTGATAAATAGATCTACAAAAAAAAAAATTAAGTAGATGAATATTTTTAAGTTTAAAAATTGAGATTTCAAAAAATTTCTATGAATGACATTAAGTGATAACCACTTAACACCGTGGTATTAAGTGATAACCATTTAACACCATGTTATTAAGTGATAATCATTTAACATCATGATATTAAATGGTAATCATTCAACACCATGATATTAGGTGATAATCGTGATATTAAGTAATAATCATTTAACACCAATGATCTTTGAATATTAGGTGTTAGATTGCTAAACTTAGGTGTTCGTTGCTAATTTATCACTGCAACTGGAAATGGACCAGATGATGAAAAAATTTGTTTGGATGATCCAATTTTTGTGACTGATTGGTTGATTGATTGATTGATTAATTGATTGATCGATCGATTAATGACACAAGGTGGAATTTTTTTGCCGCTTTTTTTTTCATGGTTTTTCGTCCCTTTACTATTTCTCTCAATTAATTTATTCTAACTTAAAAATAATTTCTCATCTATTTAAACATCAAAATCACATAATTATCATATTATTTCAATCATTTTCTGGATACTCACAAATCACAAGTTATTCTATCGTTCCATTTTAATTTCCTGAAAACTTATTCTATCATTCCGTTTTAATTTCCTAAAAACTTATCTATCATTCCATTTTAATTTCCTGAAAGCTTATTCTATCCTTCTATTTTAATTTCCTGAAAATTTTTCCTATCATTCCATTTTAGTTTTCTGAAATGAAAAGGGTAGAAATATATGTTTGTATAAAAAACATATTTGTATAAAAGCTTATCACACAATTATATAATTGCATATCCGAAAACAATTATCTAATTGAAATCCTGAAGGTTCATTACAATATTTGTTATTCATTCAATTTATCAATTCACTAATTAACATAATGATTTCTCATTAAGCGATATTTAGCAGATTATTCTCGAATCATTCATCCAATCCTTTGTGACATTTTGCATCAATTCCGAACTTATTGCGCTCATTCATATGAACCCTGTAAGTTTGGAAATAAATTTTTTTTCTTTCTATCGATAAATTTCTATTCAAGAATAAAAATGAATCTGAATCTAAATCTGAATTCAAATCTGAATCTGAATCTTGCACATATCAGTTTTTGAATTCCTTTTTTCACAGATGTAAAAAATGAATCCTCCCATACAATTAATTCTTTTTATTTACACTTAACCTGAATTTTTAAATGTCATTGTAAATTTCTCTAACAAACATTCCGTTATTCTATTACCTATTTCAAATCCATCTCATTTTGCATGATTCCTACAATTTGTACTTTCTGCTTTTTTTTTTTTTTAAAAAAAAAAAGGAAAGGAATTCTTTTACCATTACATACTTCTGTACTTTAGAAACTTCCTTTCATATTCACATCATTTATTTATTCCATTTCATTTCAAATTTCTCATCAATTTCTTACTATGTCTAACAATTTTTTTTTCTTTTTCCGGAAGTGTTTTTTTTTTAAAAAAAACAATTTAATTTCGCAATTAAAATTACTGCCAGAATTAATTTACTTTGAATTTTATCTATTTCATATACATTCAATTTTTCCAAAATTACAACTATAAGAATCCTTCCATATTTTTTAACATGTAATAAGGGAAAAAAAAAGGAAATTTTCCCATAAATGATTCTTTCTCATTTTTGATGACAATTTGATGACAATTCAAAAATGATTAAATATCCCAATAAATGATTAATGAAAATAAAATGCTAAAACGGAATTAAATGTTACTTTTCTTTTTCCCTTTTTTTTTTCCATTCTCTCACAAAATTTTCGTGAGTCATCAAATTTTTGAGCAAAATTGACTTCTTCATTTAAGTACCTCATGCAAATTATCACCAAAAGTTATCACATCCTTACTCTCTTCCCACATTTTTACTCCATTCTATCTTATCAACCTTCACTTTGAATTTTATCAATAAATTTCCTTTATAATTTCGCATCAACTGCTTCAAATACAATTCGTGTTTGAGGAAGCTGATACTGTGACAGTTGACAGCAGTTGACACTGTGACACGTTATTATTATTAGCATTATCATAATACAATGTAACCTGCTTATAGTTATGCATTTGTAGCATGCATCCAATCAGAATAATCTAATAATCATTATGAGGAACATTCTTAATTACTGATACCTGTAGTGTATGTTATTTTACCTGCTTTGTCATTTTACCTATCGTTTTACTTCTCTATCATTTACTTGAATTATGATATTACCTATCATTTACATGAGTTATAATATTTGAAATATGCGGATAAGTAGATGAGAATACCCAATTATAGATAGGATAAAAGTTTGTAGAAACGAAAAATAAAATAAAGTACGAAAAATTTATTTTATTAATACCGGATATTGTTTTAATATCAAATATCGAATATTGATTTCAGATATCAAATCAATAAAACGAGAGATGAAAGATACTTGATTCATTAAAAAGTACGATTTGTATAGAATGTGGAACGTATGATTATTTAAAGGTTTGATTAGTACCTAATTTTAAATTAAAAATTTTATTCCAGTTATTAATTAATTTTCTGCTTCTAATTATCTGTTTTGTCAAAAAAAAAAATAATAATAATAATAATCTTCTTTTCTTCTGTAATTCTATCTTTTTTTCCACTAAATTTTGAATTTAAATTAAATTTTACAAAATTACAAATTGTATTGAACGAGAAAATCAATACAATTAGAAAGGTTTTTTTTTCCTTCGTTTTGCTGATAATAATATGAAATGTTGAAATAGATAACAAGGAATTTAAATTAATTTGTGTTCTTTTTAATTTCAAATATTTTAATTTTTCAATCATCAACAGATATTGTAAATATTGCTAAATTTTTCAAAAAATTTCAAACTTTAACATACATTTCAAGTTTGTTATTATCGTTAACATTTTAATCAGAATTTAATCTTAAATTGTGTAATAAAATTAATGTATTATTTACTTTTCTATTCTTGCTATTTTATCACTTTTTTATTACAGTTATTTCTTAATTATCGCCATCAATTATTCATTATCATATCACGTTATCATTAATCATCAGCATCAATTATTCAATTATTCATTATCATATCATATTGTTTTTCTTCCATCATTAATTTATTATCATTATTATTACTATTATTATCATCGTTATCATCACCTCCTAAATTCCTATTGATTTATTATTAAATTATCCCCTCAAATCTAATGTATATTTTCAAAGGTTTTAGCTTGAAAAAAGATAATAGAAGGAGGAAAACAAGAAATCCATCCTTGTTGACATTGTGACACAAAATGATCTTTGAGCTTTATAATTATCACAAAGTATATTTGAAATAAAAATACACTGAATATTGCAAAAATATTCAATGATTGCTACAAATTGCTTTGTTTTCTTTCTTCTCTTCCTTTGCTGCTTAATTCCAAAGTATATTTTGCATATTTTCCTTTTTCATTTCATACACACCCATACACACACACACACACACACACACACACACACACACACACACACAC